AATTTCTCAAATATGATGGATAGTAGCTTGGCAACTTCATCCACCAGTTCCCTCAGGACTCATACGTGAATCTCATCAGGTCTCATGGACAAGCGCGCCTTCAGGTTCCTCTGAAGGTCTCGAGACCAGGTCTCAAACCTGGTTGTCTCCTACAGTGAGTGGTACCTCATTCTTCCAGTCCCTGCCTTTGCCTTCTGTAACTTGGGCAGTGTGGTTAGAGCCCTTACCAGTGAAGACTGAGGCAAAAAAGTCGTGCAGTACCTCAGCCTTCTCCATGTCCCAGGTGATCATGTCTCCCATTTCCTTCCTGAGTGGGCCCACATTTTCCCTAGTCTTCCTTTTGTCGCCGACATACCAACAGAAGGCTTTCTTGTTGCTAGATGTCTAGACAGACCTTCCTCTGCCCCAGCCATCAGTAGCTCAGAGCAGTATCTGCAAATCAATGATTAATGTTTAACCACCATAATCACTCCCAGAAGAAACAACAGAGCAGCTGCCACTCAGAATAAGACTTATCTCATGACTGCATTCAACGCTGTTTCTCTATTCTAGTTAGGCAGGAACAAAATAAAAATCTTCGAAGATAAGAAAATGAAGATATTAAATTCATCAGATTATTTTGCCCAGATAGAGAGTTAATACAATCTCTCTTCTTCAGATAATTTCTAGTCCTGCTGTTTGTAAACTCTGAAAAACAGTTTATGTATATTTAACTACCTTTTTTCACTGTATCTCACTTGAAGGAAATAAGGTTATCCAAATAGTTATGCACTTGAGGCTTTTAAGTTAGGGAAGACTTAACTGATCTTTTTCAATTGCTGCAAAAGACTTAGAGGGCAGAGCACATATGTTTTTTTTGCATATAGGAGATAACACATCAGACAGCAAGTAGTAGTTACGTATTCATCCAAGAGATTAACACATTGTGCGAACAGATGCATCTAAAGCACTGTGCAAGGAACTGTAAAATCAGTCTGTCTCACGTCAAAACAGCATAATTCAAGTAGATTTTCTTCCCATTTATAATCATAATAGCACCTGCAGTGCTGGTGTATTTCTCTAATCATGTGCTTAGACTACTTATGCGCACCTCTACACTATTCCCGCTCATGCGGCACCTGCTCCATGTCACCAATTCTTGCATCTTCTTTGCTAATGCCATGTTGCTTTCC